AATTTTTAAGAATTAAGAAAAGAAAATTAAAGTTGAAACAAAAAAATTTAAATGGCACTACCAATCAAAATATGTTTCAGAAATTGGCAAACGCAAGTATCTTCAAAACCCTCAAAACTGACTATCTTGTGTTTTCGTATTTGGTAATAATGTATGCTTTATTCAATTTCACAACTCATGCCTCGCAGGACTTATATGTTACTTTATTAACAGTACAATATGATATGAGTTTAGATATTAAAACAGTGGTTATTGTGTTGCAAGGAATTGCTGCAGTTATTGGAGGCTTAATTTGTGGTCCTTGTTCAGAGCTTGTTGGCCGTAGATTTATGATAATATTGTGTCTGGTTTGGAATGGTGCTTTTGTTTATCCAGCATTTTATCATGCTGATAAATGGTGGCCATTTTCGGTTGTTTTAGCTGGTGGTGTTATGGGTTGTTGGGGTATCTCATCGTATGTATTAAGAATTAAAAAATCTCACATTGTGCAAATTGGTGCTCACTGAACTTGTTGCATGTTTTGTTTAGCCAGTTTTATGAAATTTTAATTTAGATGCAAAATAATTTTTTTGGCTGCAAAATTTTTTGACATGAAATTTGACACGAAACAAATTTTACAATGTTTTTTTTGCAAATATCATATGTAGCTTTACATTATTATAACATTTTACTAACAATAACTTTTTCTAGTGTTTATTTACTTGAAATGACGAATAAAGCAAATAGAACCTTGGTAGCTGGATTAGCATATCAATTAGGTAACTTAGCATCATCTGCTTCAGCAACAATAGAAGCTAAAATTGGTGAAAAATTCCCACTTCCAGGACGTCCAGGAGTGCACGATTACAGTAAAGTCATGTGTATATTCTGTGGTGCTGTCTTTATAGCAATGATTATATGTGTCACTTTAGGACCTGAAAGGTTTCATGCTAATGAGGCTATTGAAGAGGATGATTATGATGAAGAGGAAGATATGACACTTGAAGAAAGCCAACATGCTCAAGAGCTTTCAGATGAAAAGGAAAAACGTATTTAGAAAATCTATTTAACTAGTTTTAGATTATTTATTTATTTAGTTCCGTAATGAGTTTGCAATGAAATACAATATTGTTTAGAATTGTGAAGAGTTGTAGATTAATTGATACTTATTTAATGAGCTAATTTCTCAACTGAAAATCTACATTGGTAGTTGATTAGTTGGACAATTAAAAAAAATCTACGAGTTATTTTCCATTGGACATATCAAATGTTAACTATTTGTACGTCAGGTATCAAATTAAATTATCAAAAACAAATGGAGTTACCATTGGGTATACCTTTCAATAATAATGTATCTAATTTGATTTGTAAATTAAATGACGTTAATGCATGGGCGGTGCATACCTGGTATCAGTCATTACATCAATGGAAGGTCAATTTTTGAGAGCAAGAGCTAC